ATTTGGAGTTCGCATATTTTAAAATTCAATCGCGAAGGGCGTAGAAAGTGTCGATATTTTTAACCATGCTCACGAATCGAATGTATTCACGATACGTGGGAAAGAGAGGATCTATCCGTTCTGTTGGATAAATCTTCTTTTATATTTTTGTTACGCGTGGACGTAAGCAAATGACAACAGGTTTCACGGAAGATCGTGTAAAAGCAAAGAGAACGCCAAGCGTCCTTGGTTTCGCTAAATCGTCACTGTCTTTACGTCACGCCTGGAACGAAGAAACCTGTAGCGTGTGTAATTTCACGTTGCAATGATTCTACTGAAATTATCTCGGTTATCATTGAAGAGAATTACGAAGCAATTGAGTTCGAACACCCTCAGAAATCAGTCATCGCCACGACTGCTCGCGCGATGCGGCCACGATAAAAGAAACGTTAAACGCTTGGCCAGTTTGCCGTGGATTTCTCAAATTTTTTATTGTAATTATTTTTCACGCAACTTTGCTTCTTGTTTCACCGATAAACTCGCCATAAAATCAAAACTTCTATGTGTACTTGAATACAAACGATCTGGATTATTTAATGCGATAAGTTTTATTGTAAAGAAATGTTTAAATTATCCAAAAGATGGCAGAAGATCATAGAATAAAGCGATACATAATATCATTAATAAACTAAGTTTTATATAAAATTGGCAGTATTTAATATTCTTATAAAAAAAACACGGACTTATTGCACGACTAAAAATTTTTAAATTGTTTTGTAAATTACAATTTTTGATGATAGACTGAAGACATTGAAAATGCTGCTTGGAATTGCCAACAAAGGAACTAATGTTTATTTAGATGCGAATTAAAAACCACTTAAAAACTCGTCGAATTAATAAATTTTTTTTTCGCGACAATAGTATAGTACTTGTTTTCCTCGTAGAGTCGTTCGAATAATTATTAAGAGTACTGTACATGGATGATTTCGTCGCGTCGCGAAAAGATAATCCCGGTCAGACGAATCGAAATCTAAACATTGCCCCCGAAGAGGGAGTTTAGAAGATAATTTTAAAACGATATTATCGTCGAATAAAAACGATCATCTATGATACCATTGAAAATTATTTCGCGATACAACTATTCCTCGTCATGCAGCCTAATTCTGCTAAACATTTATATCGGTACATGTTACGTTAATTAGAAACCAGTACTTAGCGTATTTCTTAAGTAAACCAAGCAATTTCACAGCGTCAGTTCCCTTGGGTTAAACAAATTTTCGACCAGTCTAGATAACATTAATTTACAAAAGAATATTCAATTATATATTTCACAAACGTTTGCTTAGATAATTGCAAACGTTATTTTACCACTGTTATTGTTTTGCATTAGATTCAAATATGCACACATGTTGCAGATATTGTTCTATCTAATCGCGTTTAGCGATATCAGCAACTGACAAAGTAGCACAGAAATATGTTAATCTAAGGTCATAGTTAAGCTATTATATTTCGCTGCGTAATTTACAGAAGATAGTGAAACATTTATACAATTTTAGAGCAATTTTTTTATTTCTATAATCCATATATGTATATGCAGTATAGTTAGAGACTGAAAGTATCGATAAAGATGCCGAGATATACATTTGAAAAGTATTTATCGGAGTACTTGAAACTCATAAAACCGGGCCATTAAGGAGATCTAATCACTTAAGTATGGCGTTATGTTGGAAACCGTTAGGAATATAATCTGTGCCATAAATGTTTTACTTTTCAAGTTAGGATTTTAGATCGTCTCTGTGACAACGAGTTGATTACACAACTCATGAAAAAGTCATAACAATTGAAAGGAATACACTGTATCTACAATGCATGAACAAAATCTCTCTATATGCCAGTAAGTGTGTCATTTATAAAGGATAAAATAATGTGGAGATACAATTTGTTCCTGATACTTCGTGTTATCAATTTGTTTAGCTTAATTCTTTAGTTACGCGCAAAAATCGAACGTTTATTACTTACTGAATAGCAGTACTGTGTGAAAAATGAGTTAAAAATTATTGAAGTGTGTTCTTTTTACGGCAATATAATACATCTTATCATCGGTTGATTATCGGGGTTACAAACACGGATAAAATGATGGAAATGAAACGAGGGCAAGTTTCTTTCCCTGGAAAAATTAGCAAAATATGTAGATTTTTAATTTTCAAAGAGTATTCTACGGCTGGAAATACAGATACACTAATTTTTCTCGATTAAAAGGAGAAATAAATTTAAAAAGCTTGAATATCAAAGTTTATATGACGCTTTTGCTCTTCGTCTGATATCTTGACGAGTGGATATATGTTTTTCGTGATAAGTGCAGTAAACAGAGAACTTCTTCGTGAAGTATGAGTTGTTCTCTGGCGTGTGGTCTTATCTTTAACAATTTTAAATATTATTATATTTAAAATGTAATATACATGGAGTTCGGCCACCCCTGGGAAAAATTTTAATAGAAGATTCCAGAAGCCAAAATAAAACGAAAATCAAAAATACAAATTTGTTGATAGAGGCTTCGTTGAAAAGTTATTAACAATTAAATTCAAAAATTTCATATCGTTCTGGAAAAATTATTTTCGGTTACGGGGATCAGTTACGATCATTTTTGGTCATTACACATAACCCCGAAATCCTACGCACTTTCGAGAAAAAAATTCGAGTAGGCACTGAAAGTTTTAGACGAAATTAAAAAATTTCAAATCATACTAAAAAAATTATATTAATTTACAGGGGTCGATTACAAGCATTTTAGGTGAATAGACATACCCTCGAATTACGACCAACCTTCTAGGAAAAAATTCGAAAAGGTATGAAATTTTTCGACAAAATTAAAAATTTTCAAATCGTCCTGGAAAAATTATTTTCGATGGTGGGGGTCAATTACAATAATTTTTGGTCAACAGACATACCCCCGAAATCCTAACCATTTTCGAGAAAAAAATTCCTTACCGAAAATATAAGTTCAGGCCAGAAATGTCTCTTCAAAATTTCATGCGTATCTTTCAAACGTCATAACTTCTCAACGGATTGGACGATTTTAATTTTTCAAAATGCAAACAACGCGTATTTTAGTGGAGAATATGTAGAAATTATAACAATGTTGGAAAAGTTATTCTTTGACACCGTAAACTGAGAAAACCCCCATAAAACTGGGTCCAATTATCAAACGTCCATAACTCCTAGAATAGTGAATATATTTCAATGAAATTTTCCCCCGAAGTAGAGCCTATGAATATCTACGAAAAAGTATTAGACAACTTTTCTGTACAACGTTAATCAAATTTATTAAAAATGAGAAACGGAGTTCTAAGAAAAATCGACAAGGGGGTAGATGCCTAAATTTTTCTGGCGAAAAAAAAAATTACAAATCGTCCTGGAAAAATTATTTTCGATTGCGGGTGTCAATTAGAATGATTTTTGGTGAATACGCATATCTCCGAAATCCTATCCACTTTCGAGAAAAAAAATGGAGTAGGTGTTGAAATTTTTCGGCGAAAAATGTTTTCCAAATCGTTCTAAAAAAATTATTTCCGTTTGCGAGAGTCAATTATAATCATTTTTGGTCATTACAATTACCCCCGAAATCCTATGCGCTTTCTTGAAAAAAATTCAGTACGGGCGAAATTTTAAACGTTAATAACTTTTTAACGAAGCCTCCATCAACAAATTGGTATTCTTGATTTTCGTCTTATTTTGGCCTCTAGAATCTTCCATTATAATTTTTCCCATGGCTAGTCGAACACCCTGTATAAGTGTGTTAGATTGTTTTTTTTTTTTTTTTTTATTATTCTAAAGAATACATATTCAAAATTGCAGTCAAGACTAGAGTACCCCCCTTAAAAGTGAGCTTGGTATACTATTGAAAGCAGATAAAGCGAACGACTTATTGATCAACAGCCTAATTGGTGACGGTAAACTCAGTTCAACGGAATAGTGTATTTGCATAATTCCATTGTTTGAAATTATCATTTTTTCAATTCACGTTCGACCTTCGCGAAAGCTCGTTCACATGCATGCCCCATGTACATTACGCACCTCGCAATGAGTCGCAGAAAGAGGCGTGTCTCGTTATAAGCAGACATGCGTACAGGTCGTTAGCCCGGATCTGCGTCGAGTAGAATAGAATTGCGAAGGGATTTGATACGTGATGAGCATGGTCTTTCAACATTCTTTCGACTGGAACGGTCACGGGACTCAATTTTTTTTTGTTCATTTGTACGTACAATTACGAACGAGTCTCGTGAAGTTCGAACCAACTAGGCCCAACCCAGCGCAATTCCCATTCGATCGTTGTGCACTCAATGTTTTGAATTTTGTTCTTTTATCGAACACCAGATTAGTGGTATGGCATGATACGGTGTAATCAAATATACGTAATCAAAATCAAAACACTGAGGAATAAATTTATATTCTTAAGGGAGAAGTCTCATGTAAAATGGTAAAACGAGAAGTGATATTCAACAATTTTTTTTACAGCATAAGGAACTGATGAAATTTTTCGCCACTTTTCACGTATATTCTTTAACATCTCAAGATACAAATACTATTTTTTCGTTACGTTTTATCGACTTTGGATGAAATAATAAATGTTATTCCTTATGTCGATGGCGTTGATCGGCGTCGAAAGTGTAGCATTGTTTTCCTTTGATCTAGAATAATAAAATCGAACATTTTGTTCATAATAGTACTACGTTACTAAAGTTTCATCAAACCCTTATGTTGTAAAAAAAATTGTCAAATATCACTTCTCGTTTTACCATTTTGCACGAGAAAAGCCGTATCTCTAAAACGGTTAGGAATGCAAAGAAATGGCACAAGGCAATATTACACGGTATCGAATCATGCGCAAACTGAATGGAATTTTATTCGTTTTTATGTGCATCTGAAAACTGCAACTGTATAATTTTGATTGGTATTCGTCTTCTGTTCTCCTCGACGAACCCCCACGCTCATTCGAAATGACCTGTTCGAAGAAGCGACAGGGTTAAATCGCGGACAGAATGAAGGATCATATTGTAAAACACATTCACCTTTTAACAAGTGATCAATCTTCGTACGTGTCTTGACACTTTCGATGGCGCGTGGATATTTTCGTTATTAAACGTAACATTTTATAAAATCAACGCCCCAAGAAAATCAGAGAAACCAATTGTTCGGAAATTGTAATTATATTCTTTTGGTAGAACGAAGTGTGCGTTTGAGTTTCCCAGAATAGGATAAGGAAAAGAATGTAGAAAAATTAAACGAGTTAGATAAGACAAAAAAATGGAACAAAAACAGCAAAACGACGATTATTCAGATAAAAAGTTGGAAGAAGGAGAGGGAGGGAACTGTTAAGTTTGATAAATCGGTAACGATATACATGTTTGCGGTTATTCGAGCGAAACCATTCTCGTATCGTAGCTACGAGTGTACAATCGAGAACGATTGTAGAATTTCAATAGTATAAAAAGTTAAAAAATCAACGTCAATTTGCAGGTATCGAAAATAAACGATTAAACGCGTCTTCCTCTTTGTCGTGCAGCGCGTTAAAGTGTGAGCTACGTACGGTGAAAAGTAAATACTTGGCGAGAAATTTACAAATAAAACATGTTCATCGTGTAAGGAAGCGTTCAGGCTGGAATCCAGTTTGGCCACCTAAAGCCACGTCTTATTCTTTCAACGAAAAGGGCGATGGTTCATAAATTAAACTGACGCGTGAAAAACGAAATGAAATTTTGTTTCCTGCTTTTCCTTTGTATTAAAAATTTCCAAAATCGTTCCTCCTACGTTGAATTAATGGCGTACACGAATAGTTTATCAACTCAATATAGAAATCGAGATGCGAAGCGTAGCATTCTTATCTTTGCCCGAGGAAGTCACTGCGTTTATCTGATTCGTCATACTGCTATTTCCGATTTATGTTTTCTTCGCGAGATTTCGCGCGTAAACGACAACGAGCAAAACACGCAAAGTATTCAGGTGTATGAATTTTCTTTTACAGCGAACGGGTACGCGCGATGGTCCGTGGAAAGGTCGATCAATGGTGGATCATTCTCCCAATAGTAATTCTCGCGAGCAACGCTTTCGAGATTCAGTGCCCGGAAAGGTCATGTAGCTGTTATCCTAGCCATAACCGCGATACTGAGTTACACTGTCCGACTGGAAACGATTCGGCCTTCATTGTGAACGTTGATGCGTACGAATATATCCAGGTAAGCACGAGTGACTCATTGATGCTTCTTAAACAGAATCTACGGAGCCACGTGGAAGTCAAACAATACGGAATGCAACCAATTGTAATTCTCAATCAACTTGATCATAACTCGTGGTTCAAATAGAGTGTTAATTGCTGACTTAATTTGTTTTAATGTTTCACGAGGATTAAACTTTTCGTGCACAATATGTTTTTAATTCGCGTAAACAACTCTAGGGCTTCTTCCTAACATTCTCTTTGTCAGTATATTTCAAAAATGAAAGTAAAAATTTACAAATATTGTAATAATATAAAAGTGAGAGTTTTTTGGTAAAGTAAAAGTATGTATAAAAATGTAATAATAAAATAGATGTAGTATAATTGAGAAACACCCTAATTAACTAGTATAATATTGTGAAAAAGTATCGTCGTTTATTTGTTAGAATGAAACTTTCTTATAGGAGTATTATATTTTCTTCGATCTTATGAGTCCGCACTTTCTCTTTCCTTTACGTAACATGCTAATAATTTACGCAGAAAAGATTGTCGTAATAATTTTCGAGGAAAACCGTAAATATATTCCTTTGGTATATCTAACAAAACTATTAAGTAAAAAACACACACACAAGGTAAAGGACCTTGCATAAACATAGCAGAAAATTGATTGTAGTCAAATTGGTTGAAATTTAAAAAAGAAGGTAATTAATTTTAAAAAACTGGTTACTATTACTCCAAAAAGTATTATCTTATAAATCAGTGTCCACAGCAAATAGAGCATCGAAGGTTTTACTGTCTTTACGCCGCCATACTGTTTATATTGTAGGAGTTATTAAGGCGTAATTGCAAGACCAACTGCTAATTGGCTATATAGTATCTATAATTCTAGCTCGCTTCTGTACATATTAAAACTTCAATCGATTCGACTGGAATCCATTTTCCACAAGGTTTGCGTGGAATCCTTGATACAAGGTGTTCGGCTACCCCTGGGAAAAAATTTAATAGAGGATTCTAGAGACCAAAATAAGACGAAAATCAAGAATACCAATTTGTTAATGGAGGCTTCGTTAAAAAGTTATTAACAATTAAATTCAAAAATTTCAAATCGTTGGGGAAAAATTATTTTCGGTTGTGGGGATCAATTACAATCATTTTTGGTGAATAGACATACGCCCGAAATCCTGCGCATTTTCGAGAAAAAAATTCGAGAAGGTGTGAAGTTTTTCGACAAAGTTAAAAAATATCAAATCGTCCTGGAAAATTTATTTTCGATGGTGGGAATCAATTATAATCATTTTTTATCAATAGATATACCCCTGAAATCCTAACCATTTCCGAGAAAAGAAATGCTTACTGAAAATATAAATTCAGGCCAGAATTTCTCTCTCTAATTTCGTGCGTATCTTTAAAACGTCATAACTTATGAACGGATTGAAGGATTTTAATTTTTCAAAATGCAATTAACGCGTATTTTAGTGAAGCATATCTAGAAATTCTAACAATATTGAAAAAGTTGTTCCATGACCCCGTAAAGTGAGAAAAATCCCATAAAAGTTGTCCAATTTTCAAACAGTCATAACGCCTACAATGGCGAATATATTTCAATGAAACTTTTTTTTGAAGTAGAGCTCATGGACGCCTACAAAAAAGTATTAGACAACTTTTCCATAGGGCGTCAAACAAATTTATTAAAAATGAGAAACGAATTTTTAAGAAAAATCGACAGGGTAGGTGCTTAAATTTTTCAAATCTTTCTGAAAAAATTATTTTCGGTTGCAGGAGGCAATTACAATCATTTTTGGTCATTACACATATCGCCGAAATCTTACGCACTTTCGAGAAAAAAATTCGAGAATATGTGAAATTTTTCGACTCAAAAAGAAATTTCAAATCGTTTTGGAAAAATTATTTTCGGTTTCGGGGGTCAATTACAATCATTTTTTGTCATTACACATACCCCCGAAATCCTACTCACTTTCTAGAAAAAAATTCGAGGTGTGAAATTTTTCGACTCAAAAAGAAATTTCAAATCGTTTTGGAAAAATTATTTTCAATTGCGGGAGTCAATTACAATAATTTTTGGTGAATATACATATCCCCGAAATCCTACCCATTTTCTAGAAAAAAATTCGAGAAGGTGTGAAATTTTTCGACGAAAAACAAAAAATTTCAAATCGTTCTGGAAAAATTATTTTCGGTTGCGGGGGCTAATTACAATCATTTTTGGTCATTACACATACCCCGGAAATCCTGCGCATTTTCGAGAAAAAAATTCAGTACGAGTGAAACTTTAAATGTTATTAACTTTTTAACGAAGCCTTCATCAACAAATTGGTATTCTTGGTTTTCGTCTTATTTTGGCCTCTAGAATCTCCCATTAAAATTTTTCCCGGGGTTGGCCGAACACCCTGTATATTGTAGCCATGAAACAGAGGGAAACGATGTCACGCCTTGGACAAAAGAGAAAAATTATTTGTTTAGATACAATGCCGGAACTCTCCAGAGTGGTCCGACTTCCACTTGTCGAACTTATTTCCTGCCCACGATATACAGTCCGTACACTTCCGGATGTGCGATTTACCATCGAACACCAGCCTGGGAGAAATCGCTAACAGGCTTGGCGCGACGAACGTGGAGCGACTAATATTCCAGAAGTTTGATAATTTGAACACGAACCTAACCAGAGAGCACCTAAAGGGATTCCCGAAGTTGAAGAATCTGATTCTGTCGACGAACAACATCGGCGTCGTCAGCGATGACTTGTTCGCGGACATGCCTATGCTGATTTGGCTCGATCTGCGTGATAACAATGTCCATCTGCCTCCTGGCATCTTCAGAAACATATCGAAGCTCAAGGTTCTCGAGCTGGGTCGCAACATGATGAGGACCATCGAGCCAGGTATATTCGACCAGTTGTCGGATCTGCGATTGCTGAACTTGTGGCAGAACAAGTTCACGGAGATCGAACCGGGTACTTTCGACAAGCTCGTTTCTTTGAAGTCTCTGGACATCAACACGAACGAATTGATCACACTGCCTAAGGATATATTCGCGAAGCTGGAGAACCTGGAGGTGCTGAACTTGTTTGGGAATAACTTTACGTCGTTGCCGGGGGATCTGCTGCGACACAATAACAAGTTGAAAACCGTGCTTTTGTATGGCAATAAAAAGAACATGACGACCTTCCCGGAAGGATTGTTCGCGAATCTGACGGAGCTTATGGCGGTGCAGCTTAGAAGCAACGGTCTGAAGATACTGCCGGAAAATCTGTTTTGGGGCTCCGTTTCGTTGAACAATATCAGCTTAGAGAGGAACTATCTCGAGTCGCTTCCAAAAGACATATTCAAAGGCTTGAACAAGTTATTGAGGCTGGAACTTAGTTACAACGAACTGACGTCGTTGCCCGACGACGTTTTCTCGCACACGACCAGCTTGATCAAATTGGATTTGTCAAAAAATCATATTAGATCGATATCCAGGTACGTTCGCGCCTACTAATAACTCAATGGAACAACGAGTTCAATTGCAAACAATTACGAACCTCTATGATAGTTTTGTGTCGTGCTTTAACACTGTTCGTTAAAATATTTTGTGGGTTTAATTAAAATTATGAATTAACTTTATTCCGATTAGATATTTCTAATGCGACTTAACATAACTGACTCGGTTACAGTTTTAATTTTGTACAATTTTTAAACGAATGCCTGAATTTACACAACACAGCCTTATCAGATGAAGAAACTAGCACCAGTAATGAGCTAACTTTATATATCAACTTTAAAAATCATAACACGGCGGTATTTTCTAAGAAACTGTTTCGAACATTATAGGCACTTATTTAAACGCTTAAAATCGCTGCAAGTCTTAAATATGAAGGAGAATCAGTTGCAAGTAATAGAAGATACAAGTTTTAATAATCTGGAGCACCTAAAGATCGCAATATTTTCTAACAATCAGCTCTCGTTTAACAATTCGTTAGCTTTGTACCACGACGAATATGGGAAAAAATCACCTTTTCAAGCTTGCACGTCCTTAAAAGAATTGCATCTAGCAAATAATAATATTACCGAAATATTTGGAGATTGGATTATAAGCAGCTTGAATCTGCGATTGTTGGATCTCAAGTACAATCGGATATCTTACATATCGGTAAGTACATGAGAAAAATATACAGTGAACGCCATACACGGAACAATCAGTGTCCATTCTGTTCACGCTTAACGATACGTTACATAAAACATTTCAGACCGAAGATCTACAATTTATATCCAACAATATCAAAGTGGATCTAACGCATAATAATATAAAGCACATCAACCTGAACACAGCTGAGAAGGTAGCTGGCTTTCAAACTCTCACCCGTGATGTAATAATACTAGTTGAGGATAATCCCATAGCTTGCGATTGCGACATGTACAATTTTCTACGTTATTTGGAAGGAGACATGAATCCTAGTGTGCAAAACTATTTTCACATAGTGCCAGGAAACTTGGTTTGCCAAAGTCCGAAATGGATAGAAAACGTGCCTGTGGCAAACTTGAAATCAAAATCATTGAAATGCGAAGTACTTCATCCATGTCCAAAACTGTGTACATGTTGGGTGAAACCATATGAGAAAGCATTCTCGATCGATTGTTCCTACAAGAATTTAACAAATGTACCAAGTAATATCAAGACCTTGCCTACTTATAAAGTTGAATTAAACTTAACGGGCAATGAGTTAAATAGAATGTTACCTTTGGCAGAGATCGGCCTGAAAAATGCATCGATATCCAAATTGCTCTTGTCAAATACCAATATATCTAGCATATCTTTGAATGAATTGCCATTACATGTAGAGGTGAGTACAATGACTTTGATATCCTTATAATATATTATAATTTGCATTGTACAGAATGGTCTTTACTTGAAAACCGTTTGTTACGTAGAAAAATGTTTTGCTACGATGCTTCTTCCTCACTTTACTGTTTTTTTTTAACGAGATAATTTTGTGACCGCCATATTTTCCAGACTTAATGCCCATGAATTACTTTCTTTGGAGGCATTTGATATGAGAAACCGTATTATTACAGTGTGTAGTACTATAAATTACAAAACAGAAACTATGTATCATTGGTATTTGTTCATAGACTGCATACGTAAATATTAGTTTTCAGGCCCATTTATCCTCATAGTTTTATATTCAGTCTTACGTGCTCTTTTTGGTAGCAGAATTACATTTTATACATTTACTTGAAACCTTTTTCTACATAACAGTTTTCAAGTAGTTTAATTTATTACAAAAACAACAATGTATTTAAAAACTTAGCTTTGAATATAAGCGAATATAAGTGATTTTATTTTACATATTCCAGGTTTTAGAATTACATAACAATAATATTAGCAAAATGGATTCCAAGGTATTGCAATTCATGAGCAACTCGAGTACACTAAAGACACTTACGCTGCATGGAAATCCATGGATCTGTGATTGCAATGCTAGAGATTTTCTAAACTTCGTGCAAACGAAAGTCGAGGATATTCTGGATCCTTCGTTGATCACATGCAAGGATATGAACATTCCAATGTTGAAAATGACAGCGACAGATTTCTGTCCAACGGACATAATAATGATCATAGGAATTAGTCTGGCCATAGCCCTTACAGGATTGATAATTGGTTTGCTAGCAGCATTGTACTATCGATACCAACGGGAAATTAAAGTTTGGCTGTACGCGCATCAGCTGTGCTTATGGTTGGTAACCGAGGACGAATTGGACAAGGATAAATTGTACGATGCGTTCATAAGTTACTCCCATAAGGACGAAGACTTTGTTGTAAACGAGCTGGTATCGAAGCTGGAAAGCGGTCCGAGACCGTTCAAATTGTGCCTTCATTTTCGTGACTGGGTGGCGGGAGAGTGGATACCAACGCAAATCGCTCGTTCCGTGGATGTTTCAAAGAGGACGATAGTAATATTGTCGCCCAACTTTTTGGAAAGCGTTTGGGGACGAATGGAATTCAGAGCCGCGCACAGCCAGGCTCTTAGCGAAGGCAGAGCGAGGGTTATTCTGATTTTGTACGGTGAAATCGGTCCCACTGATGATTTAGATCCAGAACTTAAAGCTTACTTAAGCATGAACACGTACGTAAAATGGGGGGATCCTTGGTTCTGGGATAAATTGCGGTACGCGCTACCACACTCCCCAGAACTGACGAAAAATACAAGAAGAAAAATTTTTGAAGAACATCAACCGAGTATACAAATTAATGACGACAAAAAAGAACTAATTTATCCTGTCGGTGCCCCGGAGACGCCACCTGCGGCGAGTACTCCGCCGGCGGATACCCTAAAAATATTTATGGACGACGAGAAAAACGATGTTAAAAAAGACGATCCTAAAAAGCTGGCCGAATCGAACGGCAATGCTAAGTTAATTTTTTCGCCTGAAGAATTGAAAAAGAATAATTTAATTAATAAAATACAATGTACCACTGTATGATAAAACACACAGATAAGGACTGATACACGATGTTTAGGATTAATCTTATTTAAAGAGGAACCTCATAAATTGTTACACAACAGTCGCTGTTTACATATTTCATTGCTTGAAAATAGTAACATTTTACTTATAAAAGAGAAGATTTAAAAAAGAAGGTAAGATGTAATATTATAGTTGTAAAATATTTCAGATTTGTCTAAGATATCAGAAATTATGTTTGCCTAGGGAATAATATGAGATATTTCTGTTTAAATAATTTCAATCTTGAAATTCTTATTAGTATGTGTTTATGTACTTCTTTGAGCAAGTGTTAACGCGTGTTGGTATGTAGTGCAATGCCAAAAATTTATTGTTATATTTATTTTATAAAAAATGACACATCTGACTTATCTATTTTTTAAATTCGCCTTAATTAGTTTTTAAGTAATAGTATAGAATTAATGTTTAAGAAAAATGGTACCCAACGACTGAAGAAAAGTCTTAGAAAAATGCTAGACCACTGTAAATATGTATCTTTTTATAATTTTGTATGCATATGAATTTGAAAAATGTTATCATTATCATTTAATCATCATAGATATAGTATAAATATTCCATCAAGCATTTGCAGGATAATTTTTGGGCTATAGAAATTAGTATAAATTAGTATCATTTACTATGTATTTTATGTATGTATACTATGTATTTTATGTATGTATACTATATAATTTTGTATAGTGTTTGAGCACTAATGTTCATTTTTTTTATACACAATAACTTGGAATATCTTATAATCACAAATATATCTTATGCTTTGTTAAATAGGTTTTTCAACGTTTAAAACAATAGTATTATATAAAATTGATAAAATGTAAACAAGTATACATACATATCAAATTTAAACATTAATAGTTTATCATTGTAATGTAATATTCATTTCACGTTACCGTCATAGATAAATGTATGGTGTACATAGGCATGTATTACCATACATTTATAAACTAATTGCTCTATTTTCTGAGCGTTATAATCTTGTTATACATACTATAGTAAGTTTTATCTACTGTATTTTAACAGAGAATTATAATGATAACATTTAGGAATATCGACTGGTAAATTAAATAAAGAATCTCATAATGAATTGTCAATTTTGCATTAAATACTAGTAGCTGTATTGTATTTTAACGTTAAGATTAGTTTATTATATGATTGATACTAAACGCGTACCTGAGAAATAAAACTTCAAGTAAAGCTTGACAAATACTATAAAAACTTTTATAATAACATACTTCCTGATTTTACTGATACAACACATAAACTAACAAATATTAATTTCATAACTGTCTTATTTTACCTACATAGATGAATATAAAAAATAAAAAATATGGAAACTTTTTCGACTAGAAATTTTGGCGATTTCGGATATCATCATAATTACTTTTTATTTGTTACTAAAGGTGGCTAAAAATCACTTATTCTCTTTTTCAATAATAAATTTTTAACATATTTAAATACTAAAAATATAAGAAATAATAAACAAATGAAATGATTTATTTTATTGAGACAAGAATTCTGTTACTTACCCACAATAGTTTTGGTTCGCCAATCCCCATAGACCCATTACATATAAATCGCACTTCCGATGTATAGGAATCTGATATGAAAAAGAAAGTTAATTTACAACATGGTTTAGGACTATTCAAGATATATTATACACATTACTCACTATTTACACATTTATCACCATTGGAGTATTGAAGTTTTATAACATCCCTGCCATAATCAAAAATTACGTTGGCCAACGAGCCATAACCAATGCTGCCTTGACATACAGCAGAACCATTACAGAATTTTTGTCCTCCACATATACTTATACTATACTCTTTTCCTTGCTTGGTTTTCACCTGTAGTTTCATGCCCGATAACGTTTTTAAAATGCTAACAAGCATATTTGATAATATGTTATTGTTTAATAAAATAATATAATTTATAATTTCATTAATGAAAACTGTCTTGCAATTATTTATTTCTAATTTACTCTGTGAAATCTATACCGTAAATAAATATTCCCTTTGTCAACTTAAAATATCAATGAGATTGTTAAATGTTAACGACTTACATGGTATATATTTTGATGTGTGTATAACAAGGATAGATTACATTCTTGTGAAAGTAATTGATCTTTTATAATGCAAGGAGAAGACCAATTTCCCATTACAGCTCCACACGTTATACTTGTTTTCCATTCGAAAATATAAGTACAATCTTTGTATTCTTTAAATTCTGGAAATCCCTTAAAGAAACAATCATAAAGTAATTACATAATTAATGTCTTGTAACAATTTTGTCAATAGATTATTATAAAATTGTTACATATAAATGTAAATTAATCATTACCTTATTATTATAACGACATGGAAATGTAAAATTTGAAGAAATTAATTTTGTTGGATTCTCAGGACAAGGTGATCCGCTTATATAACGTAACACTGTTTCATGATTTGTATTTAATATGGGACTTTCTTTTGGAAACCCTAAACTCTGTCAACAAATATACAAATTATATGCTGTAATTATATCATTACTTGTTTTTTAAGAAAATAATTACTTTTAAATAAGTGTTTCGTTTACTATTTTTACGTCATATTATAATTACTACATATTATTATTGTTACTCACAGTTTCATTTACATACTCGTTATTTATATTTAAGGATGTTTTGCACACTGCACTGCCATGCGAACATGTTAATCCTGGGACAGATACTAACGGTCTACATATATTTATATGAAACTCTGTTTTATTCATTTTTACAATGTAGTTACTAGTAGATTTAATCAGCGAACTTAAATTTATCTCATCATCCACTGTTGCACATTTTATCTGTAAAAATGAAGATTTTTATTTTTACTGCGTTCTATTTTGTAAATATTAATTACACGCAATCGCAAAGTAAAGATTGCATATTTATCTAATATTAAATAATATTTAACCCTTTTTTCGCAAACTACGTTGGTGCTCCAATGTATAATCAACTGACAAGGACTCTGTTCCATAACAACCGGTGTATTGGATACTCCCTCTGCTCCACATACAAACGCAATAATTGTATAACGACGTCGCCCATTTTCACATAAATCTCCATCTGTATAATTTAAATATGGCCCACCCTCTTGCCATATTAAATTTGTATTATACTTTCCTACAGATGTGCCATTATTGGTAAGGCAAACTCCTATGTTTTGAAATAAAAATAGTTAGAATGCAATTTTCAATATACTATAGCTGAATTATTGTTATAGAAATTGAACAAATATTATATAAAAAATTTGTTAAATAACCTGTTCCCGGTGCACATTGCATATCAGCAGGTGATTTACACACTCCAAATTCGTATTGTAAGCCATTTTGTGCTATAGTATGAAAGCCAATGTCCATAAAGGAATTTAAATCATACCTGTAATGTATCATTTATTGTAAATTTTATCAACTTAGTACGTATTGATTCAAACTTACAAAGGAACCATATTACTAAAACAATGAGCGTTTTTCAAAGGGAAGATGTATATAAACAAATCCTAAGATAACAGCATTCAAAATTTATGTAATCAGTTAAATCCCACCCAAAAAGCGCTCGTCCCTACGTAGAATTCCCTTGTTAGAATGTTGAAATTAATCTTACGTGAAGTTTGTAAGAGGATTAGTTACTGTACATCTTCCAGCAGTTGTTACACTATGGTTACGTAAAGATTCTACGCTACAAGCTGCTGCTGTTTTCCATATTATCTGATAATGACACTCCTCCTTTCCCCCAATATATTCTGGAATTGTTTCCTGATAAATGCGAAACGAACAGTTATAGCAATTAAAAACATTAAATGTAATAAATAGTTGGAAGATAAAAACTTACTATAGCTTTAAAATCACATATGAAAGAAATAGTGGTTTTGATGTGTTGTTCTGTTCTATTTCTTTCTGTACATATATTTCCATCTTGATATTCAAGTTTCAGTTTTCCATCCTCTAAGGATGGTGGGTGTGTTACATCGCCCAAATTTATATATCTATATCAAAATTTTGTCGATAAAACACTTGCTTATCAATAATAAAACATTGTAAATTATGTACAGAAAACATTTTTTTTAACAGAAATATTCGTACCCTTTTCCTGAACTAATGGGCTCTTTTTGTAAACAGACTCCTGAACTCATTTGACACAAAGCATCATTTTCGAATATAACAGAATGACAAACATTCAATATAATTTTTGGCGACATTCTATTACCAGTATGAATAACATAATTTTGTGAATATCTCGTTAAAGGAGACAGATCATAATGCAACTTATTATCTGTTACTGTACAGTCTTGTACTTTTGGAGGTACACATGCAAGAACAGTCCTCCATGTAAAACGTAAATTACATTGCTCTTCTGTCTAAAATATTAATAATAGGATAGAAATTAAATATTTATTTACGTTTATGCCTTAACACAAATATTGTGAAATATGTTGAAAAATAGTCACGCACATGAGAAATTAATTCGGGGTAAGAATTATTTCCAGCTTTATAATCACACTTCATGGTCATATTTACAGTATATTTTTCATATTGTGTACAATCATCGCCTGTAAATACAAATAGTATTTTTCCATTTTCTGCACTCACTTTTGGAGGCATCATTCCTAAAACACAATAACAATAAAATTATTTTAATAAAAAAAAAATGAACGTTAACATTTTCAACAGATTACAGAAAATCTGTACCTATGCCTTTTTCTTCTTTGTTTCTTATTAAACAAATTCCATATCCATCCTTTCCATTACATTTTTGCCTTAATGGAATGCATAGCTGTAGTCTTAAAGTTCCATTCGGATAATCATTATTTAAAATAATGTCTTTTGTAGGATCCGAAAGACTTGTAAAATTATAAGTGAAAACTTTGAGAACAGGTTCAGGAATTATGCAAAAGGAATTGTCATTTACTACTGACGTGTCCTGTTTGAAGAAATGAAAATAATTGTAATGTGTTTTCAAAAAATTACTGGTGAATTAAAGAGACTGAGCTACCTTACAAAATTATACCTTATATTTAAGAAATCATATGTCTACCGCATATGTCATAAAATGATTAACAAAAAAAGATCTCTTTTATAACAACATGCTTTATAATTCTTTGAAAATGTATGTATGTAATGTTTACAGAAAATTTTTAGAATAATAACAAGAAAAGTGGTACGTACAGCGAAAACAGCAGTTGCAAAATAGTAAAATAATACAAAAATGTTTAACTTGTACATTTCTTTTCTTTGTTTGATCGTAGATTAATCACATTGTAAATATTTGATATAGTAATATGCATAACAATATCGTTCGTTTTTAAATATCGACGAAACCGAACGATTGCTGTTTAATGATACTACCCAAAAACGACTAAAAATCGTTTTATCTTTCCAGATACGAATTTTATGAAATTAACTGTTAGTTTAGGTTGGATATATCTTCAAATGTATGACAGGTGAAAAATAACAGTAACAGTTGAAAAGCCTATTGGCTGCTGATAAGACAGTTACATGTATGTCTCATTCAGACCAGACGTCAACTAATCATTGATATAGAATTTTTCACTTTTTTATTTCTCTGCCGTCCTAACATTTGATAAATCGTCATTTATTAATTTAAATTGATAATTGGTCATATTACATAGAGTCGAGAAAACGGCAGAATCAGAAAAAAAAATTATCTATAGCAGGACCGTGATAAGGTAGGGGCAGAAAGGCAAGTGCCCCTGGAAATCATGTAAGAGTGCATGTTGGCGCGTTTAACATTAAAATGAATTAAACGAATTATTTTATAATGGTTTTATTCGCTTCAATTTTCATATCACGTCCAATGTTATCGATTTGTAGTAGAATACGATTTCAAAACTCTTGGTGTTTGGAATTAAACCTAAATATGGAAAAATTAATATACAATATAGTAGATGGCAAACATTAGAAAAGTATGCAAATAGCAGACGGGTCGGAGTGGTCAGATTTTGCAAAATTGCGCAATATGGCCAGATTTGGAATAATTTAGTGTATCGACGGCGATAGTACCGAGCTTCCAAAAGAAGGCACAGCGTGTTTACATCCCCACTCCTGTTGCAGTCCGCCGACTCACAGGTATTGGTCGAAAACGGTGAGGAAGATCGGTGACAGCCAATCAGCGGACTGCAGCAAGAGTGGGGATGTAAACACGCTGTACCTTCTTCTCGTGGAGGACGATATGTGGCCCACACTGCTCCTAACGCCGAACCGGCGAAGCTTCCTTAGCGTTTAACGGAGCGATGGGGAAAGTCGACGCAATACACATCTTGCCTCACGCTGAATCATATGTTCAATGTTTTTGAACGAAAAATGCATGCTGTTGAATTCATTAAGAACTTTTATTATTTTGTACGTGTTCTTTATTAAACAAACATGGAACGTTTGCAAATACAGGAAGCTTTTACTGAGTTAAAACCACTTTGCGATTCTTTATTACGAAATCCAGATATAAACACTGCACGTAATGTTGCTAATGCCCTAACAAAAATTTCGAATAAAGTTGTACAAGATTTGTTGGAATATATTTTATTCCCCATAATTTTTCATTTACAGGATAAAAGCTTGAGGTTATTATTTTATACTTTCCTTTAACCAAGTGCCTATTATATTTAACGTAATAAACTTTCTTAAAATGTTTTATAATTGTTTAGCAAAGGTACGAAAGAGGAATTAGTAAAGACAACACACGCAATCGTATCAAGAGCAAAGATATCAAAAATCGAATATTTTAGTAAATTGTATTCTTGCCTTTTGATACAAATTTATGATCGAACTCAAGAAAGTTTGGGTAGGTATAAATATTATTTAAAGGTATTTCAATAATGTTTACATATGTTTACTAAATGAAACACTAAAAAGTAATGATTTTTATAGTAATTACAGGTCACGAAGAATTGAAAGAAGTAGTACTCTCATGCATTAAGACTTTGATGCATTCTTCTTTTACAGAAGTTTTAGACTCGTTATATGTTGGTGAAAATGCCTTCAAGGTAGGCCAAGGAATATTATTGTCTCTATCAATAGGTAGAATGGAAAAATCACGTTCAATTAGGTAATTGTACAAAATATTGTTCTTTATTTTCTTAAGCGTTGAATGTGAAATGACAATGGACAGGGATAATCGAAGCGACTAATTGCAAAGATCTATATCTCTTACTAATTTTTATAACATATAAAAAATGTAGAGTTCATAAGAAATACATAGCTTAGCTTCAAGAGATTGTTAAATTTTCCCATATTTTTTAATTATTTAAATATTAATCAATTTACTAAATTTTAGATTAAAAGCGATAGAGGCAGTGATGGCTTTATGTCAAGTAGATGACGAATCGGATAGATCTGATATTATATTGCAAGACCAAATAGCCGATGGCATTATGTTATTTTTACCTGGTATTGTCAGTGGTTTACAGGAAATAGCTTTGGGAAGCGAAATACAAGGACATAAACTCACAATGGTAGTATAACATTATTTTGTAATAGTAACTATTTAATGATAAGTTTCATTTTAATATAAACTTTCAGTTAGCGTTAAGAGCTTGGGCTAGAATAGTATCTCTTGTGATGAAAGACAAAGAAGAAGATGATACACCATTGTTAAGTACTCTTATCCAATTAAATAATGATAAATGTACTGATGTATTAGAAAGTCCTTCGTATACAGAAGATAAAATTAACATAGAGAAACATCTGAAAAGTAAAACAAGAAGTAAAGAATGGTTTAATGCTAGCGCAACAAAGCTTAATATACTTGTGAGACAGTTGAGTGTATTAAAAAGGCATTCCCATTATAAAGTTAGAATGGAATTAGTTGAAAATATTCATTTGATACTTACAACATGCTCTAGGTAATACTATTACCATTTTCCGATCATTTCTAATAAACAATTTTTAAAACGAAATTGTATATATTTTTTAAACAGGAATATGAAACCAAATGTTATGTTACTAATAGAATATTTAATATCTCTATCTGAAGACGAAATAACAGAAATTCGAGAGGAAGCTGAAAAAACACTAAATGTAATTAATATGAGCTACATGCAAAATAAGAATATGAAACCCTTGGTGGAATTATTAGAAGAAAACTTCTACAATTTACTTACAAGTTTACCCAGGATTATCAGGAGACCTGGTATAGTTATTATATTTTGATATCATATTAACAAGTTCGTTTCTCTGATTTGTATATTATGATAATTGTACAAATATAAAAATGAAATATCTTTATTTTTTAGATGATAGTGATCAATTGTCCTGTTTAAATCAAATTGCTGGTTATTTAAAACTTCTCGGGGAACAGAGATTGCCTCGGATTATGATGTCTGCACCACATATTCGAAGATTGATATCAGCTCTTGTATATGTATCCGAGATAGATTGCAGTAATATTTCCTTACTGCAAACTGTAAATGTTAAGGATCTTGAAGATCCAGCATATTCCTATGGACCACACTTATGGAGACGATTTAAATTCATTCAAAACAATTCATGCGAAGAGAAAGTTGTAGCTATATGTAAATATCTCGGAGAATTTGGAGATATTCGAATTTTAGTTGACACCATTCTCGGACTTACACTTGATGCTCCACAACATAAAAAAGAATTATTCTTGTTATTAAACTGGATTATATGTGGTATATAGAACAACAGCTTTTCGTAAAATAATATATAAAATATAATATTATTAACAATTAATTAAACATTTTAGTTTCAGTCAAGGACCCTTCATTTTTATCAATTTATGAAGAAGTTGTAGAGTTTTATATAAATCCTGAAGTTTGGTATCCAGCGATTGAAACTACCGAAAATGTACCTTTACGTATTGCACAAAGCAATGTAGTGCAATGTTGCTTATTAATAGAAGGTTTAGGATTAATAGCTCAAACCTTGGGACATGATTATGATAGATTTCTTCTTAAGACTTTATATTTAATTATAGAAAGAGCAGGTAATCTATCAATTTACTTTATAGATAATCAAACAATTAATCATTATAAATTAATATAAATTTCCTTTGTATGTACATATGTTTAGGCAGCGGGCATACCTTAATTAGTTTCGTTGGAACTCAAACGCTCGAACGGATCGCAGAATCTCTGAAATATAATTCAGTGGGAGATCTTCTTCGTGCAAATGTTGATTATTTTTCATACCATGTGACTATAAAATTACGCAGAGTGGAACGAAATCCCGGCGTTCTTGATGTCGTTGGTGTCGTTATGAAATATAGTACCATGGATGTCTTGCCTTGTTTAAAAGAAATCGTAGAGGATGTACTTTTGCAACTAAATAAGAGTTTTCAGAAGAAAAATTCCTACGCCTTTTTAAAAGTATTTTATACGTTCACGATATGTATAAAAAAGTTAGTAAATTCCAAAGATGTGCCAATTATATGTGAACAAAATGAAACTGTTGAATCTAAATCTTCTAAAATTATTAAATCTCTGTTGGAGTATTACGAAGCAAAAAAGATTGATGAAAACATAGAAGAAGATTCTACTGTAAATCTAGAGGAAGAGAAACTGGAAGCAGGGGAAGAAAATGAAGATCAAATAGATTTCACGGAGCAAGAAGGTAAAACACATATACACACAGCGTGGTTCCCGACCTTTTACCCTCCGGCGGGCACGTTTTTTTATCGTAAATTGAGCGCCTTTTTTCGTACTCAAAGTAATGTTTATAATTATAGAACAAAAGCAAAACATACCACCTTATGTAAAAATGATTGAAGACGTAATGAAGCACTGTCTACATTTTTTGCCATCGAAAGATATAAAACAATCGCTAATTGCAATGTCAACGTTGCAAGAGGGTCTAAAAATTTTAGCGGAATGGGAAAATCGATTGTTACCGATTGTATATTTGCTTTGGAGTCCATTAGTAGATAGATTTCACGATGAGAATGTACTAATAATAAACCGAGCATGGCAACTATTAAATGTTCTTGCTTATCTATCAAAAGATTTTATCCGGTCTAGAACGCTTAAGTAAGTTTCTTATGCTTTTGATCTATGGGACATAATTAATTAAATAATTATAATTCAATGATTGTTTTAGACAAGTGCTGCCAGCGCTTTCGAAGTTCTTAAGTAGCTCTGCTAAAGAAAGTTATAACAAGAGCTCCGAAAATATCTATAAATTTACTCAAACTTATAAATTACAAAAGGAATTGCTTTCCACGTTGGGTCAAACCACGAAAAATTTACATATTCTTGAAAGAGAAACATGGAATATCCTGGGTATCGCAGAGCCCTATCTCAGTAAAAACCAACATCCCTCGTTACAAGTAAATGATCTCGTAAAATAAATTTATAAATACATCTGCTTATGTATGCTCCGTTAATTATTTTATTTTTTTTTTAGTCGTGTTGCGTACAATTATATAAGGAAATTGCTGATTATAATGGAGACATTGTTTGGACGAAGTGTCTTAGTATTTATAACTCTAAAATACAAAAAATTGCTTCTGATGCAACGTTGGATACGAACGATTTAATGGTAATTTTTATATGATTTATAAATGAACGTAACATTAATATTTATATAATTGCAATTTTGTGAGATTATATACCCTTTCGTGATTGTTTAGGCAACTGAAAACAATTCAACAAATGAGTACTATAGAAATATACAAATTATTATAAAATATATTCAAGATAAGGACTTACAATTGTAAATATGACAGAATATACATTTTTGTACTAAATGAATAAAATAATTAACGAACAAGGTAAATTGAATATATTATTCCAATTATATGTTGGGGGTATTGTAATATACTGTATATGTATGTAATTTCACTCGTAAATTTACTATTTAAGGTTTAAGATTAACAAAATCATAATAATCTTTCAAATTTTTATTTGTATACAACTTGTATTCCATGAAGGTAGTCCACATTTTATATTTTCGTGATATTATTGTTTACATTCTTATTTGTACAATAACTTATGTCTATTTAAAACTTTACATTTATCTACAAAGCAAATAATTATCCTATACAACAGAATGTTCCTATGTGTCCTATTCACACATGACATAACTCGTTTAATCTTTATTTAATTATAAATATATAATAAATAAAATCATCCGTTTGTACTGTGACACACTTTGCTTCATACAGTTTCCACATACTGATATACTACAGTAATTTAATGTTCTCTTTTTGATCGTAACACAATTATAAATATTAATAACATTTTAAAACTAGTTATTCATGTCTTTTTCAAGTTTTTAAATAGAAAAATTACAATGACAGCATTTGTAGGATATTTTATTAACGACAGTTAAATAATAATGTCATAAATTTCATTTGAAAAAGTGAAAGAAAAATGCTTATAAATGCGGAGAATTTGAAATCTATAATTTATAATTTCTGCATTTTTATAATATGTTTTTTAGCTGTTTCTTCAGTAAATGCAGTTATGAACAGTGTCTCTGAAAAATATAAGATTGCTCGATAGGAGTTTGCTTTAAAATTTGCTTCTATCATATGTCACTAGTTTTACAGTTGGCAATAAATTAATATGTATATAAGAAATAAATGAAATTTACATATATTCTATCTTTACGTTTCCTATTTCTGTTTCTTTAAAAACAATTTTGCAGCATATCTATACGCGAACTGTTTATTACACATTTATGCGATAATGTTATAAAATTTGATCTTTTCAAAGAAGAAGGGATTATAAAATACAGTCGTTGAAATAACATGTTTGTTGATTTTACTCTAAAAATCTTTAATAACTTTAGTACGACAAAACATATGTAAGTTATATTATTTGTTGATATTAAACTGCCAAATGAGTGCCACTTTTAAGACAGACAATAATAATAAAAAAAAAAAAAAGAAACATTAAAAATCATATTTGGTATACATTTAAGTTTCTCTACAGTTTGTATGTCAAATGCGACATCAAAGTAAATTAAAAGTTTTAACGTCTTAAATATTATTTATGTTTCACTTTTGTTTTGTATTTGATAATTTGGAATCATTTCGTTGAATACGTCTGTACATGTATAAAAGGAATTATGCACATAGTTTAAATGGGAAAGTATTCATATTTTGAGCATGTTGTCAGTTACTTTAATAATCTAATATTTAGCAATTATGGTCCACTCATGTCATATGACTAGCACACTTTGTCTTAAAAGATTCAGAAATATGTAATCTAGCGTGTGCGCTCTGTACCAATAAAAGGATAAATAATATACATACATGTATATTACGATACTTCAGGTAATATAATAAGTCGTTAATATTTACTTTGCAATAACATTGGCTTGTTATAAAACAGTAGTTCTTTTTTTTTTACAAATTATTATTAGCAAAATGTTTTACCTTTAGTGAACAGATACTTAAGAAAGTTACGCACTGATTCTCTAAAGAAAGGAAACATCACTTCCATGCTTGCTTCTGAGCTTTCTGGGATGCTAATTTCTTTGTGACGTACGATGAAATTACAAGCGCTGCTAATACTATCATAATGAGACAATAATTGAAATCTTCTTTTAAAACGTCAAATGTTTTAGATGGCGTCACTCGCGTGTAGAACAAGTCTGTGAATATTGTACAGGTAATTATTTATAATATGTATGCAGTTTTTCTAGAGTATTAATTTTAATAACGAATATATCTTATTTATATAATTCACCCAATGCAAAAAGTTTCAAAAACGAATTAATCGCGTAAGCCAAGAGCTTACTATGTTTTATAATACTTACCAAGACCGTGTACAAAAACTAAGCATGTACTTTCAAGGCCACTAGGACTAGTATGAATGTTGGACACCCTAAAGACGCTTTGATTATAATTAATTATTGTGTCCATGTGAATAGGTATCTCTGGCATGTATGGAATTACACCTTCTTCGCGTACTTCTGGATTAATAGGCCGTCGTGGATCTACCAACATCCACGGTAATTCCAATACTCCACCATTGGCAAGGGCCACTGTCAGATATCAAAAAGAATTTGTAAGTATTAACACTAGATTTACGACAGTCGTAAATTTGACAGATGTTAGATTCTATATTTAAAATTACAGATGTAGTAACATGAATCGAATTCACATACCTATAATATGTTTGCTCGTAATACCCTTCTCTGTAATAGTCTCCCTCATAAATTCAATTGCTGCCGGGAAAATAAAGGCTTGCCTTTCTACAATTGGCAATTTAGTCGTAGCTAAGGACGAGAACACTGCAACAGTACAAAATTTTTTAATTAACAGTGTTCGACGCGAAATAAATATAAAAAAAAATGTTACAAAACAATGTACAGTACCTGTGGTATTACTTTGTATTTTTCCTTCGTAAAGTTCTAAACTAGCAATTTCTGTTCTACGACTCTTTTCATTAAAGTAACTGTACACTATCCAATTTTCTGAATGTACAACATGCACCGGACCTCGTACTCTTTTATGTATAATGGAAAATATCATTGCTCCAGATACGGCGTCCAACAGATACAGATTAAGCGTATCTGCAAGTTACACACAATCGATTGCAGAATACAATGATTTTGAAATGTATGCAGTAACACATTACATTAATCTTTTTGTAATATTTTAAATTAACTTACTTTTATGTGTGTATCCAACACCCTCTGTTACTATAGCGACCAAGTTGGGATTAATGTATTTATACAGAACTGATCTATCGCTTAGGACTCTACCCTGGGAATGAACACGTTCTATTGGGTTTTTCGATACAACGTGCGTTATTCTTTGATTTTTCGGCGAAAGCAGTAACTCCCATACTTTGTTAGCGATAAGTTCCTGCAAAATGAAATCAAGTTCAGCGACTAATGTGAAATATTAAATGGATAACACGCTTAAAGTTTTACGTACTTGAGTTGTGCTGTATGAAAGAGAAAATCCAGACAATACACCAGTCGTTTGATCAGCGGTGAATATATACGTATTTTTACCAAGCGATGCAGCAATCGCTGTTGCACCTTCGGGATATACGTGCACTTTGTCCCGAGTATCGAGAATAAGAATACTTCGTAAGAAATCATCTGTCGTGACGTGAAGCAACATGGATTGCTTCACCTTATACCCTAATTTTATTAAACCATCCAATGGTTGACCAGTAATTGGATTAAATGTATATATTACTCCGCCTGTTTTCTAAAACATTGAAAGTGAATTGTTGAGTCTAGACATTTCAATTCGGAATGATTGTTAAGATATTAACACGGAGGAAGCGTACTTTATCTTCTGCTAGTAGTGTACATTGAGGAGGATAAGGAAAATGTCTGCTGCCCCGTTGCACGTACAAAACTATTGCATTCGATTTTTTAGTAAAACCTTGAATGCTGGGCACTCTGAGTTGCCAAATAATTTCACCTTTTCTAGTTTCAATGCCATATAACTGCAAATAAAACCATGTATTAATATTGAATACGTAATCCCAATTACTCATTTGTAGTTTGCTGACTGTTAGCCATACAAAATAAAACAGCGTCATACTTTTCCCGCTGATGTAACGAGAACAATCATTTTATGCAATCCGAATTTATCTCGTACTAAATCAGTACGTTGATTAGACTGTTGAGGCGTAAGACTTAACACAGATTGGGCAAACGCCTTTGCTTGTTTAAATTGAGAACTCACTCTTCTAAACATCATACTCAGCACATCCCCTAGATATAACATAAAATTATGAAATTATATATATTACACATGTAATAAGAATTCTGCAAACTGTTTTTTTTTTTATACTGTAGTCATTAAGAAAAACAACGAAGTATACAATTGTAAAATTGAAACGTTAGCAAATAGCGCACAATTATAGTTTTAACGAAGTGTGTTAATTAAATATTATACGAAAGCTGGATAAATTTGTAGATACAATAATTTTGTTATATTTTCTAGCTATTCATGCATGATATTAGAATACAAATTATATTAATTAGTTGAATTTCAATATATTGTTTACAACTTCTATATATATACAGGGTGTTGGGAAAAATTTTAATGGGAGATTCTAGAGGCAAAAATAAGACGAAAATCAAGAATACCAATTTGTTGATGGAGGCTTCGTTAAAAAGTTATTAACGTTTAAAGTTCCGCCCGTACTGAATTTTTTTCTCGAAAATGCGCAAGATTTCGGGGGTATGTCTATTCACCAAAAATGATTGTAATTGACCCCCGCAACCGAAAATAATTTTTTCCAAAACGATTTAAAATTTTTTTTTCGTCGAAAAATTTGGGCACCTAATTAGATTTTCGGTAAGGAATTTTTTTCTCAAAAGTGCGTAGGATTTCGTGGGTATGTGTAATGACCAAAAATGATTGTAATTGACACCCGCAACCGAAAATAATTTTTCCAGAACGATTTGAAATTTTTGAATTTAATTGTTAATAACTTTTTAACGAAGCCTCCATCAACAAATTGGTATTCTTGATTTTCGTCGTATTTTGGCCTCTAGAATCCTCCATTAAAATTTTTCCCACTGGTGGCCGAACACCTTGTATATATTTGCCAATAATTAATATTTTCATGCAAATACTAATTACAATATTATAGCAACTTTTTCCAGTGACAAGGATAAAACTATTTAGCGGTTACAAAACTATTTGTATTATATTTTCTCGATTATCTAAAGAAAATCAATACATGCGAACAAGTCTAATCAACAGCAGGAAGACAAAGTAATTTTCAAACCAGCCCTTGCTGCTCCACTACTTACATGAACTGTCTACATCAATACCTGCCAGCAGCCATTCACAAAAGAAAGGTAATTAATACAACTTAACTAATATCTTTTTTTTTTGTTAAGAAATAAATTGCAAAAGTAGAACGTGACTTGGTTATCATTATTACAATTAAATTGCGACTGCAAGCTTTTCAGTTGTATTTTCTAAATGATAACATGGAAATATAGAATAGTAATAATAATGTTACTTTAGTATTTCTAACTCGCGTTAAAAAATGTTTCGTATCTTATTAAACTTAAAAACATATAGATGTACTTTGTAAGACTTCATTTAAATTATTCGTAACGGATGTATTTTTACTAGAATTTCAATGCGTGTGGAACTTTTAATATTGCAATTATTAATATTTATGTTATCTACACCAGTTTACGTAAGTTTCAGCTGTACTTTAATGAATGTAATAGAAATAGATACTTTATACTTACTCTCTTTCTGATCGAATTCTGTTTCAATTGCTTGATCTCTATCTGACATAGGTAATTCTATAATTTCCACAGCTACAATACTGGCGAGTGCCTCTTCCCTAGCCCATATTAATTTATTGTGTTGTAGCAATGCAACACTATGGTCTTGCGAAGATAATAAATGACGACACGTTACACCTTTTGCTTGCCGTGGACAAACGGAAGCCACGATCGCCGGCGACAATAAAGAGGCGTGCGTTATACTGATCGATAAATGTGGCAACGGATTTGATGTTAAGAGTTCTGTAGCTACAATTTCAGTCGTCTGGAATTAGATCGTTCAATGTGGTCAAAACTGGAATTAAATAATGTTTGAAAGATTCTTACAATATAAATCGAGTTAAAATACTTACTCCAGATTTATACGTCGTTTCTAGAAGCACCTTTTCATTATCAATTGAGACAATATAGAGCATAGCATCACCAGCTATATCTCTTTGAATAGGAATAGGTATCTCTCCAACAACAAGAATTCGTTTTCTCTGATTACCGTCTGCACTAATCGATACAACAGATTCTTCGCCAAGTACAGACTCCAAGTGATACGGACCTTGTGTACCAGCACCAAATATTGTATTTATTGTAACCGATTGTGGTTGAGCATTTGCATCAAACAAGTGTATCAGGAACGGTATAGCCAATGAACTGTCCCCTTTTAAACATGCTAAATACGGCGCTGCTAAAACACAACTGAAACGATAAAGCAAAAGAATGATTAGAATTGCATTGAAATAATAATACCTTCTTACAAAGCGTAGAAGATATCTTTAAATGAATCGATATCGTACAATATGGTTAAAATATAATTTGCGATACAATAATTTCTTACTCTGTTTCTTGTGTTATAAATGGTGCGGAGACTCTTCTTGTTTTTAATTTATCTCCTGTTTTACTGTCGTAAGACGTTACTTCAACACCACTACTATAGATTGGTAAAATATGATGTAATGTACCATCTTTTATATGCCACTTTACATCTTTGATCCTGTATGATAAAAAAAAAATCACAAATTTCAAAACAAATTACATAAAATATTTTCGCTGAAATATAATATATATTGACGATTTTGAAAAATATGGTGTTATACATTTACATACAACATATTTAATAAAATATAGCATATTACAAAAATATAACACTTTTGAATATGGAACAAGATACTATTTAATGTTTCATCGTATTTACTGTATGAAATACTTTATAAATTTTAAATTCATTGTTTATACTACGTAAACAGTAATTAAATTATTTTTGTAAATTAACTTAATCAATTCATCTTGTTTCCGATTCAAGAGTCTCTCGTTCTCTGTAATATTTTGCTTCAGTTTTGTAAATCACATTGAAAATGAATGGTAAAAGTGTAACATAACACAAAAATAACACAAAGTGTAGAAACTTGTACACACGACAGGTTTATGATTGCTTAACGTGTAAAATATATATTATTCATTGTGCATTAAATGAGGATAAAGAAACCTGTTAGCACTGTACAATCCCAATGTAGAAAAAGATATAAACGGAGAGAAACGTCTGAAAACCAATAGTATACGCTATTAATTTACTTAGTTTCTAAACTTTTGCATAAATCTTTCAAACAATATAAAACACTTTGCAGATTGTTTTCAAAAACAATGAATTTTATCTAATAACTGAAATAACAGAAATCATTTTTTTCGTGATAAATTATTTTAACAATATTGACCTATCTGGATTTTGCTCTGCTATTGGCCATTCGTGGAGAATATGTCCGGTGGCTAAATCCCACGCGCGAACGATAGCTGGTACACCTCCGCTTACAGAAACAAGATCTCCATCCGCAACTCCGCCTAATGCATGAATATGGCCTGCAGATCCTTTCTCTAATACACGCCTCCATAATATTTGTCCTAAATAAATAAGGTTTCTTCTCAATTCTTGGAGTTATATAGATATAGTTAATATCAATACTATATATCAGTTGTGTTGTAAATTTACGATCAAATATTAAATTAACAACACTGTCCACCCATATTCAAATTTAATTAACTTTTATCAATATTTTAATCGTCCCACCGAATATTACGTGTGAACTTTGAGAATCTAAAACTCAAATATTGAATATTTACTGGTTTTTTGCTGCTTCCTAAATTATAATTTAATGATTGCAAATTTCAGAATATCATGCATATTCGTTACGCATAGATGATTTTTAATTATTATTTGCAGCTTACCTGATTTAAGATTTAACGCAGCAATAACGTTTTCCTCGGTAGCGACTATAATCTTTTTCGCGGTCGAGACAGTGTCAAAGCTGGCGAATTTAATTTTGCCGACATAATTCTGTTTCCTAAAACGTGAAATGATGAATGTTTCATTTAGAATGGTTCTAGTAGTAATACTCTGTCAATCACGGGCGCATGCTATTGCATTATTTAAGAGGTTGAACGATATAATCAACACTCGTTTAAGAATGCAAAACAATTTACCAGTCAAATTTTCCAATTTGGTCCTCGTAAAGACATAGAGACAAATTAAAAAGTCCGACTAACACGATAAGGCATTGTAATATTTGAACATCAGTTAAAAACCGGTTGACATTCCCTCTAGAACTCCATACGAACGGAGCCATGACGATACCTATGAACGTATCAATCCATCCACTTACACAAATTTCCTTCGCACCTGACTTGCACAACCATCGATAATGGAAACGAATGTATAGTCACTTTCGAGTAAAATTTATGTGCAACTTTTAGACGATCGAGTCAAAGTTCGTGTAGGTTGTTCTCAACTTTGATTGGATGATTTAAATATTATTCAGATTGCGTTTCATTTGAATTTGTTCGACTTTTTCATACACAGAACGTTTCGATGTTTGGTGCAAGATAATTAGACCTACAGACTCGAAGGGAAATGCAGAGAATGTTATGTATCGAACAAGGGGAGTGAAGTTTAAATCATAGGGGCCCTTTCTCGGAAATAATCATGTTGTCAAAGGGGAAGGTCATTCGATAATTATTCTTTCTTCTTTTTAACAAGCTTATAGTGTTGCACGCTAGAACGCTGAATTATTATTGTAATGACGAGATATAATAGTCTATAAGAGTACAAAGTCTCTAGCCAGCCAATCACATAGTAAAACCACAGACGAGGTATACGAGTAGACCTTTCATCCAATGTATTTTTTCGACCCATTTTTCTGGGGCTCTGGAAAATTTTCGAGCAAAAATTTTTTGACGAAAAAAATGAATTTTCGATTTTGCCAGCAGGTACGAGAGTGACGGTTACAGGAAAAAAAATTTTAAAGTTAATTTTTGATTCTGGCAGCAAGTACGAGAGCTGACGGTTACTGAATAAATGAATAAGTATCGTTTATCGACGGTAGGTATGGCGGTGGCGGTTTTAGGTTCATTTTAGATATGGGAAGAGGTGGCACGTATCTTACAACTAAGGTAATGATTTGGAGAGGAAAAGAAAGGTAAAAAATGATGAGAACACATAGAATTCTTTGTAATTATATCATTTATTGCCATAGATTTACATAATACAATGTTTTAATACATATATACCATGTCAGAAGTTGTTAACAAAGGTCAGCAGTGGCCAGCAGTGGTCAGCAGGGGTCAGCGAAGGTCGGCAGAAGTCAGTCGTAATTGTTAGACGTCGTCAGAAATATAAGCGGAGGTCAGGAGAGGCCAACAGAGGCTGGGAGAGGCTGGCAGTAACCAGTAGTAATCGTTATACGTTGTCGGAAGTATCAGGTGTGGTCAGCAGTGGTCAGCAGAGGTTAGCAGAGGCCAGCAGAAGCTAGCAGAGGCTGCGAGAGGCTAGCAGTAGCCAGCAGTAATGGTTATACGTTGCCAGATGTATCAGAAGTGATATCTGAAGTGATATACATATGTACGCTCATATATAGGAATAATAAAAAAGAATTTATTTTTTTTCAATAATTCAAATATGATCAGGGGGTCTTAAAACGTGTATTTCCGTAGAAAAAATGTCACAAAATTTTTTTTCATTATAGTACTTTGCTTATGTGCGCCTACATAAGTACATAGGTCGGAAAGTAAAAAATACCTGGCCAGTCGAGACTTGGAATCGTATGCCGTCGACGTGAAGTCGAATGTCAGTTGATCAAGAGCGCGAAGGCAAATGTGAGCCTGCCTCTCTCGACTCCCACGAGGCGGTCCGAAATTACTTCGGGCAGCTTCGAAGAAGCGAGAAAGAGAGCTTGTGTCAGTTTGCCTTTGTCGACTTTCCGAAACTCCACGAGCTCACGTACGCGTAATCTGGCATGTGTGAGTAGTGCACTCGATGCTGAATCTGGCATCACTGCTACCCACGTGAAATACATCTCATTTATACACAGTATCTTAAACTATAGATAGAAAGATCGAATCGAAACCTGACATCTCTCAATAAAATGTGTTATCACACCTTGTTCGTAAGGCACGTCACGAATGGTGCTTAGTTTGATTTGTTACGCATAAGCACACACTCTGTGTAGCTCAGTGTAGTCTATGGCTTAAGGTCAGAACAGTTCAAGTTTCAAAAGCTTCGATTTTATTGCGCTTTCGTAACGTGATAGCATACAGATTCCTAAAGATATGTACGATACTTCTTATCCTGTATCTCATAGAATGTACACCTGTTAATAAGTACTGCTATTGCTATTGCCGTTATATTAATTGCTTCTACTAGTGGCATTGCTACTTCTGGGACTACTTCAGTAATTATCGCTATTCCCTCGTTTAAACTATATTCTGATCGTGTTTATTCCTTTGAGATAATAGTTTCTATATTCAAAAAATACATAGACACTGCCGGTCTTATTCACTTTAGCTTTTCTCCTTCGTCTCATCCATCCAAAATGTCGGATATTCCTGGAACTGTGACATCACAATCTAGCGTCAAGAACAACGAACTGTTTCTCGATAAACTTGGACGTTCTGCCGTAGATGGCGGTGTAATCTTACAAACAGCATTATGTTTTATTATAAATATAAGCTTCGGAGTTAGTTTATGAAAAATTTCACGCGATTTTCGGTTTAAATGTTATTTAAGCTATGGTTTCTTTTTATTTTGAAACATTTATAAAGGTACACAGATGGTACCAAAATTTATTTGTACCCTGTATCTGGTTACTGTTTGCGTTGACAGATGTCATTATATTATGTTCGAATAAGTTTTATAGAAAAACTTAAATATTTAAATTTAAATTTACCCGATACGTATGTTTTTAAATGACAGAATACTATTTACAGCTGTGCCATTCACAATAAACTCCGAGTCTCACGAAGTTTCCTCCCCTTTTTATATACTGTATACGTGACTGTTACAGTAATTGTAATAATTTTATTACGAACGAGATTTTTTAGAGATTTCGAACGTGGCTCTTACATTTTATAATAAAATGTATACATATAAATTTGCAAATACTTATAGATTTAGAGTACCGCGAATTAGAAAATATTGTTCGTTGTGGAAAACGATTTGTGGTCTTTTCTCGTCGAAGAGGGACTTTCACTTTTCCTTCGTTGGTAATGCGTCTAACCAAGCGGCGATTCTTTATCCAATGGAGAGAGAGCAGGCCGCCGGAAGAATTTACGTAGCACTTAATCTCACCACTTAGAGGCCTCGACGAAATCACCCCTACTTCGCATTCATGGGCACCTATTCTTCTCTGCTTCTTTACTCTTCTCGCGCCACTCATCATCGTGAACCTCTTCTTAAATTCAGACACTCCCAGCTCTTATTTTTTCTTTTTTTTTACGAGAAAAGTCCCTATTATTTGCGTTGTTACAAATTATCGTTACTAGTTGTTTTTTTAAATGCTTCGGTGTTCCAAATCACCAACAGCATTTCGACCAAGTCGCGCTCCCTTTGTTGTGAGAAATAATGTTTCGAAAAGCACGGAATCGAAGGAAATTCTATGCTTTGTAAGGCGCGTAGGATGAACAGCGAGGGAAATCTCGAATCAGTCGTGAAGCGGATCCTTTAATCGCCTGTACTAAAATATTATAAGGCGCGTAATCGCCGCGATTGCGCCAAAATCCGACGACTAATCTCCTAACCGTAAAAGCGGTTTTATTTACTCGTTCACCTGCCCTTACTGGGTACTTCGCTCGCTGCTTTCCCAGATTTTAATGACAGTTGCGACTCCCTGATGGAACAACTGCTGTGAATACATTACTTCCTCATCGCCAACGACGCTAGTCGTCAAACTGTTCGAAGCAGCGTAAACCGTGATATTATTTTTCAATCCCGAACACCTTGTAAACCCTTGCGTTATCTTTTAGCGTGCTACTACTCCGTTTAATGGAGTACTATTATGTTTCATTGTTTCAAGTTGATGGCGTTAATCCTCTTTAAGCGATTTGAGGAATGTAGCGTCACTTGCCGTATTTGCCACCAGAGGGACACCGCTCTCTCGCAAGCGCTCGACTGACCCTTCGTTCCTATATACAGGGTGTTTGACCATTACTGGGAAAAATTTTTGAGGCCAAAATAAGACGAAAATCAAGAATGGCAATTTATTGATGGAGACTTCGTTAAAAAGTTATTAACATTTAAAGTTCCGTCCGTACTGAATTTTTTTTTCGAAAATGCGCAGGATTTCAGGGGTATATTTATTCATCAAAAACGATTGTAATTGGCCCCCGTAACCGAAAATAATTTTTCCAGAACAATTTGAAATTTTTAAATTTTGTCAAAAAATTTCACACATTCTTGAATTTTTTTCTCGAAAGTGTGTAGGAATTCGAGGGTATGTCTACCGACCAAAAATGATTGTAATTGACCCCCGCAGCCAAAAATAATTTTTTTAGAACGATTTGAAATTTTTTTTTCGCTGATAAATTTCAGCACCTACTTGAATTTTTTTCTCGAAAGGGCGTAGGATTTCAGGGGTATGTTTATTCATCAAAAACGATTGTAATTGACCCTCGTAACCAAAAATAATTTTTCCAGAATGATTTGACGACAATGAAGCCTCAATCTAGAAATTGATATTCTTGATTTTCGTCTTATTTTGGCCTCTTGAATCTCCTATTAAAATTTTTGCCAGGGGTGACCCTGCATACGCTCCTCGACTATCCAATGTCCCATCGTCTAAGTCAGGGCCTGCTAGCATTATTTTAGTAACGGGTCATTTAACAGAATTCCACAGAATAATAAAAATCTCTTTAGTACGAACGTTGAGAGGATAAAAATTAAGAAATGAATCTTGAGAATCCGAGTAACTCCCTAAAAAGGAACACACACATTGGTAGTCAGTGTCCACGAGTTGTTGATAAAACAGCCCAAATTCATAGAGACGGTTTCGTATTTGGAGCCGGTGGAAGGCAATAACCGGCAGTCATTCGGAAATCCGGGCTGCGTCCAATCGTATCTAATATCCACTGTTCGCATTGTTTACAGGGAGGCCAGTGGTTTCCGAAGGGCCGAGGCGATATAAAAATGACGCTGGTAATCGACTCCGCCGGCTGGCTACGATTTCTCTCTCTTTTCCAAGCGGCAGAAATGAATGGGGGATGGCTGGTCGACGAGAAAAAGGGGACGGGGGGTTGCGAGGTCCCGGGTAACCTGCAGCAGATGAGATAGGATTGAATGGACGTCGTGAAGACGCGGGATAAGGTGCAGAGAGGCAAGAGGGTCGACGGGGAGGATGGCGCAGAAACAAACACACGCATGTAC